ATTAAGAAGACTGTGTTTAATCAGCATCAAACAGGAGTAATGAATAACAGCCTTGTCAGTAAATCAGCGCCCACATGTTGTAAACTACCCTCCATGCATCTTCGTGACCCACTAAAGTTGCTCAATATTCCATAAAACCCTGAGCACACTGATTCCACGACTTATTTGGCTATACCTCAATTGAAAAATATAGGCATGTACTCGCACAAAAACAGCATTAATCGTTCGGGATAACGAATTGAATTAATTGGGGCATATAAACTAAGCAACTTATACGTGCACATGCAAGAAAACTGATGGGAAGTTTATTGAGACTTCTAGGAGTTAGCATTCATTAGTCGTTTAGACTAGAGGGGATTTAAAGTGTGTATATATTGGAAGATCTCCTTGACTAAATAGGCAGATCTACTTCACGAGCCCACTAACTAGATACAGAAGCATAAAATATAATGTATCATAATTATAGCATCTATATGAATTTCATAATATTGCTGTCACCTAATAATTGTCTGATTTGCACTACCAATGCGCCAGCCTTAGTTTCCCTCTATTTATTTATGTTTACGCTACAAGCTTGAACATTTGTAAATTTGAAGATTTAACAGAATATGGATGCCTTAAAAGTGCGAATTTCTTACATAAATAAACTGAATTTTGATTATGAAATGTTAACATGAGTTTCGAACTTGTCAGTACCTATGATAAAGGCATAAAATTCTCCTTATTAAAAGCTAACAATATCCGGAGATTTGTCCCAACTTTAAATAAATAAACTGTGATATTTCATGCATCACGTAATTTGTTTTTTTTGAGATATATTGTAAGTTGTACGCGCTTATAAATTTTGGATAGAATATATGCAGTTGGTGTTATAGCTTCCCGCCAAAAAATTTAAAGGATTTCACGCATCACCATTTCTCCAATTTTGACAAGTCAAGAATTTTGGCTTCGCCTTTCGTTTGGGTCATCAGTTAAAATTATGAATCTATTGAATTAAGACCAAGATGATGTGGCCTTTTGTATGTTTGCAGCCGCTTTTCGTTGTTTAGAAGTCATTTGACACTATTTTCGCAACTTGATATCTTTGCAAGAAGAACCCAGAGGAACGCACCTTGTCCGGAATCCACAATATGCATGCCAATTTCAAATTAGACTGTGGACATGGTACATTCCCAGACGTTTCGCCGGTATCGTAGTTGTCATCTTCGGTGAATCTTGCTATTCTTCGCACCATACTACAACTTGCGTAAGAGACAAGTAAAGTCAATCCTTCAACCAACTGTATGCTAAACAGCTGTGGTATTTATCCTGTCCTGGTGTATTCATCTATCCTGTCACCTATCACACACTATCACAATTTCTTACTTATTTATCTAGACCTAGTTCAGATATGACTTTTTTTAGCGGGTTCACCAATCTCATGTTTCCTTACAGGCTTTGAGTTTAAGCTTAGACTAATAACCAGAGATTGAATCGGTCAATAAGAAAAGCAAGGAGTCAATAGTGAAATTGACGAACTTAATAATGAATAATACATATTTTATCTTTTACGGTACCGTTTGAGCAAACCAGAGATTTAGCTATGAAGGAATACTTTGATATCTGGAAGAGAGTCTGGAAGACTTCCTTAAGTTAATGAATAGTTAGGACGAGTAAATTTACTATGAAGTTAGAAAATGACAATATTTTAATATGAGATGTATTCACCCTATTTAGTTTATGGTGATGGAGGGCTGGTAGTAGAATTTTCCCACAATTATGAGTAGAGCTGACATTTCCATTCAATTTCACATAGCCTTGCTTTCCCAAAAGTTGTTCCAATCCAGGATGGACTAAAGTTTTAACCTAGCATAGGTCTTATCAACACCCCTAACGGGAGTCGAACCGAGAAAATGCAGCATGTGAGCTTGGCACGTTAACCACTTGGCCACATTGGCCAAGTTAGGAACAGGATAAGCCACCGAGTAAAAAGAGAAAACTCGACTAACCAGGGGTTTTGGACCCAAATTTGCAAACTAACTTGTCCGTATTGCATACACACAATGCATATCCACCCCATAAGCTGAATAAAGCCTAAGTATAACATAAACATACGCTAGTTTATTACACAAAGAAAAGTTGTGACCACATCCGCTACCTTTCATGCCTCAAATTCACATATATACATGCATTCAGGACAGGCATAAAGTAACCATCCAATTTATCGAATGCCACATCGAGATCGCAAGGTGGGGTGTAAGTAGTAAGAATAATCTCAGATGGCCATCTTCATAGGTTTAATGTTTTTGGTGTCTGTTGGTAAATAATGGTATTGTATATGACTATGTCAGTACTATGATGAGCGAAAGCTGATCTCGGAGTAATCGGGGTCGCTGGACGGTAAGTCGAGGTCTTCTTCGCAAAATCCTACAGTTTTAATTCCAAGGAAACCCTCTTTCGGTATCCGATGAGTCTAAGTTATGAATCTCTTCCACTCGCCTTTTCAAACGAAACGAACGGCATGCCAGTCTCAATCTATTAAGAGAATTGTCAAAACCCATACAATCTGATTGTCATTTATTTAGATGTAGATTTACTCCAGTTTATAATCAGGACTCCTCGACACCCAAAGCTCAACAGCACCCTAAACGTAACCCGGATCCAGTTTATTGAAATGGTTCTCAGAGTTGAGAAAATACATAAATTCTCTTACGGCCTTTAGGGAATTGGCATAATGTAGTAAAATGTATCTAATTAGTTAATTCCTCTATTGAATTGCATTTTAATCTATTTTGAATGCCCTACTAACCTTGCAACTCAGTAAGTCTCCTACCAGCATGCAAAAAGCAATTCAATACAGCTAGAATTCGTAGTTCATCCCTAAGTGGTTATTAAAATTAAGATCCTATTCTGAAAAGCAGGACCAGTGATAAAAACACTTAAATTAAGGATGTAAGAAATTAATCGACTACTCTGCTTTGCCCATAATTCATCAGTTTCCTATGCAGCTGGTCTTATATTCTTAATGCTGATTTTCTTTAAGCATCGCGTAGCAAACTTAGTTCGTCGAGCTACAGATTTCTATTTAAATCACCTAGAGCCATATTATCAATCGGATTATGCAAATGCCTGGAAAACTCTCAAAATTGTATCATACATAAAGACTGCCGTAAAATACGCATGTTTGGCATATGTCAAATGTCCTATGCTTTAGCAAGTTAAAATCAACATAAAGCTGTACTAAGGAGATGCAGCCTGCGTCCTGCATTCTGCTCATTGTTCGAGTGAATGAGGTTCATGTAAACCCTTGCTTCATACACTAGTTGACAGTGCCAAAGCCTATCATTGATCTACCTCCTTATACATATGTACACAAATTGGGTAAATAATTTAGAATCACCTCAAGCCGAGCTAGGAATACAACTATAGAAACGTCTTTCCTCACCATGGCAGTATGAGATAGAGCTGCTGTAATATCAGATTTTACAATCAATCCCTTGTCATCATTTCACGTGTCGTAGAGACCCCATATGTACAAAATGCACCAAAATCTATTGGTAAGAGCTAAAAAATCAAAAGGAATTATTATGAAATAAACGACTTTGGAGGATATGACAAATTTTGAGTTCAATAAATTTTAATAAAATAATATTATACAGTAGTTGTTTTGACTGTGCACCGTGATGCTGACTATGGACTTAAGTCATCTGATTATGCCAATGCAACCTTAGTAGCACAGGTGTAGGTTTTTACGGTCATAACTAACTTACCAAGGATGCCTAGAGTCCCTGCCACTCAAAGAGATTAAGGCCCGAAAATGACAGCTGATGCGAAATTTGTACTGTGACCTATTGGGCCTGTATAGCACGTTGTCTCGGTATCTGGCATTAAATGAAAACTGTAATGACCTTAGGTTGTACAATATAAAGTAAATCTGATGGATATATTATGCCACAAAAATCAGTAGACCACAAAATGTTATTAGATTTAAATTTTCCTTGTCTCTAAAAGGACTTTCTCGTACAAAGCGGACTGCAGTTTCGACCTCGCCTCACAGTCTCATCAGCACCTTTAAATGAGATAGAAACCGGGTCTTAAGCATAAGGTGGCTACAAAGTACTAATCCTTTATAACAGCGAACGCATAGATCTATTTGGCATCGGGATAAAGCCAATGTGATAACTTGCATGAGAACTGGTCCACATAAACTAACAAGAGATGAATTTTAAATACTGTCGTGATAGCGGACTAACATGCTAGATATCAAGGAAATGTCCGGAATTACCGAAATAATCTTGAAATCTTACTTCGGCTAGCTTGACTGTATCAGCAATGCTACACAAATAATTCAGCCATTGCAAATAAACATAATGATTAGCTTTCATTAAAAGGGAAAATTCGAGAAATATTTGCACATTAAAATGAAGTTGCGCGCGTAGTTTAGGTAAAGATTTTGTTGAAAAAAGAAAACAAAAATTTCATAATTTTAATACTATGCTTTTTGTGTTTCAGTCTTGGTAAGTAAACTGCTAGGATAAGACTAAGATTTCCAAGTATATTAATCTGATGTAGGTATGCATGAGGGCACTTTTTCTTGGCGAAAATTGAGAAACCGGTAAAGAAGTAGAGTATAAAGTAAAAAATTAAAGCAAAAGGGATAATTAAACGTTTTTAAAAATGTTATGTCGCCAACCAGTATGGTAATATCTATGGTCAAATGGTTGTCGAGTGGCAATTTAAGTCTTGCAACTATTGCAACATCAAAGGATAAGCAGTATAGCTAGAGGCTTTATGCCGCCATGTTGTCTGAGGTTTAATTAATGAATAATCACATTCTATTAGAAAAACATCAAAACTAAGACCTATTTAGAAGATAAAAACAAATATATGAGCACAGATAAACGTAAATGCGGAAGCAAACAAACAAATACTATCATTAAAATTTGTATAGTGAAGTAGAAGTTGCGAATTGGCTATTGATGAAAATGAGGCGTGAGGATTGGTCGGGTTGATTCGAGATGTTACTGGCTGGCCGACGTGTTAGGCTTGTCTGTGGATCGTGAAGCATCTGCCACCATAGACATAGGCGTGGGCGCCCGAAGTGGAGCTGGAGAAGGGACTGGTGGGGGCTTTGGAGCCAGAGATGTGGCAGGAGTCGACGATGGATCCGAAGCCGCCACTACCTGTGGTATCGGAACTGGTACGACTGCTGGCGATTGAGCTGGTATTGCTGCCGGCAATTTAGCTGGTATTGCTGCCGGCAATTGAGCTGGTATTGCTGCCGGCAATTGAGTTGGTATTACTGCTGGCGATTGAGCAGGTACTGTTGCTGGCGCGTGAGCTGGTACACGTTCTGCAGGCGCTGAGGGCTTCGAGTCATCTCCGGCAGCAGCACTGGTTTGACCAATCGAGTGAGAACCAGAGGCCCGGCTTATTAGCTTTTCCGTGCATGTCCATAGTTGCCGACCTAAATCAGCATCGTGCGCAAGGGCGCCAGGCTCTATGAGTCTGCAATCGGAGTAATAGCCGCCCGAGATAAGATTGTGCGCCAGACAGCAAAACAGCGTGGTTTGGCAGCCCTCCCATGGCGATTTATTAAATGGCGCAGCCAGGCTAAATAGAAGCTACAGAGAAGAGAATGCAATGTGTTATTGTCACAATAATGTATAAAATGGAAGCGGGAAACTAAGAATGTGTAGACTTGTCTAAAGATAGATGAAAGAACCAGCTATATAGACGCAAAAATGGACTTAAA